GTGTGTGTGTGTGTGTGCACTCTGACCCTCTGGTCCTGCAGACCCAGACAGGGACTCTGAGGTCTTTGTGGTCTGTCAGAGCTGTAGGGGTCTGAGGGGTCTGACAGGTCCTGACACAGAGAACAGATCCACTCTGACCTGTGAGACAGACAGACAGACAGACAGACAGTTGATGTTGATGTTGTTGTTGTTTTGTTATATATTGATATATTGATGACTGATTATTGGTGGTCACCACATGTGGGGCCCCACAGGGGGAACGTGGCAGTCTCTGTGGAACCCTCGCCCGCAGGCTGAGCAGATGATGGAGGCGTTGGCTGATCCGCAGGCGGAGCAGGAAACCATCACCAGAGTCACAGGAGACTCCGGCGACGGCGGCGGCTCCATGACATCATCTGTGACATCATCACCATCATGAGACTGAAAGAGAGCGGAGCGTCTGATTGGTTACCTGAGGACACTGCTGGTACTTAACACCCTTACACCCCTTAAAATCAAGAAGGCCCTAGTTGGGGTCGCGACCCCCAGGTTTGGACCCACTGGTGTAAACAGATTTGGTTATGGATATTAAATCATCCGTCTTTGCTCACTGATCTCCGCCTGTCTCACACTCAGCTGTGTATAAACTGCAGGTTATCCACTTCTTTTAAAACAGGAACATAATAAAGACAGTATTTGTTTCTTCTGAGCAAGTTTGAAAAGAAACTTCTAACAATGAAAGTCCTGAAACAAAGACTCTATGTTTTTACAAACTTAGGAAAATCAAATCAGACCACTTGCCTTTCAGGGCTTCCGTAAGGTTGGGCTATAGACTGTTAGTATTACTTTATTGGTAACAGACACTGAACCTTGGGCGGGGGGGCCACGCAGCTTCTACCTGAGAGTCCTCTCACTTCATCTTCTTCCAGGTAAGATCTCATCTTTCAGCGTCGCCTGAGGACCAGACGAAACCCAGGGAGGGGACACCCGGGGGGCGGGCATAGACACAGGCAGTCCTGAACAGAGCACTGTGGGCTGCCATTGGCTCAGACATGCAGTTCCGGCCCGTACAAATCACAGAGCTGTTGGTTCCTCCCCAGCTGCGGCGGTTTCCCAGCAGGCTTCGGTTTCTTCAGACACGGTGGACGTCGGTGTTCGTTCTCCGCCAGGGCTTCCTGCCTCCCGCTGCGACCTGCTGCACGCTGCGGTCACACGCGCGGAGTCCGCCTACCGGCCTCTCACCTCACGGGACTCCTAGGCTGGGTGGCTTCAGAGAGGAGCAGGACAGAGGGACGCTGGCGGGCTGGGGGCCCGGTCCGACAGAGATCATGGTTTCCCGTGCGATCACTGGAGGTGGACAGGCACCCGAGTTCGCTTCTCCTCGCCGGGTGAGCACGTCCTTCAGAGTGCCCGCAGGACGGATGTTGAGTTGGTGTCCGACGTCCCGGGAGCTCAAAAGACTGCCATGGACGAAGGACCTTGATGTAGACGGAAAGTGGACCGGAAGCAGCGTGAGTCAACAGGTGTTCCCGGTTTGAGGACGGGGTCCCACACCAGGAGGGTGATCAGCAGAGGCAGGTAGAACCAAGGTGAGAGAGGAGGAGAAGCGAGGAGGAGGAAGAGGCAGGGGGGGACAGGCAGATGAACACATCTCCTTCTGCGCTGTAGTGTGATCGGTCTGCGGACACAGGTGAGTCAGTGTCACTGGGTTTGGGACGAGGCTGAACGGCAGGGCAGAGAGCGCTGGTGGGTGGAGGCGCAGCTGGAACACACAGCCTGATTGGATTGCAGGCCGGACCTGAGGAACTCAGGCACGTAGGACATACCAGGTAAACACAGATGGGCCACTGTTTGTCAGACAGGAAACGCGGAGCGCGGTTGGGGCGGACGGGAGCCGCCCGGCTTGGTTTCGGGACCGCACCGACGGTTGGCCGTGTACTTTTGACGACCCATCGCGCCGGGCAGGACGGAGACGGACCGGCCGACCGAGTAAAATCCCAAAACTGAAACGGTTGGGTTCGTCAAGCCCTCCCCGTGTTGCGGTGTCGGCTGTGAGGGGCGTCAGCCGGTCACAGGAGCACGGGATGGTTGGACGAAGACATTACATGTAGAGCAGCCTGGTTGGAGACCGGTGGAACGAGGGAGTTTAAAGGTGGTGGCTCGGTTCGGGGCGGAGCGAGTGTGAGGAGGTGGGAGCGGAGAGAGGACGAGGGAGGCCTGGATGTCTCTGCTCTGATTGGAAGGTTGGAGAGACCGGTAGAAGCGGGAACGCCGGCAGGGAAACATTAAGTTTACCGTGGCGAAACCAGAAACATCCGCAAGTCAGCACCTGTAAACACCATCCGCATCGGAGCCATCAGAACGCTGGATGAAATGTGATGTCACCCGGGGGTAACGACAGTAAGACTCTGCCGTTAAACCACGTCTCCAATTGGGCCTCGCTGGACGTCAGTTTCCTGTTGTGCTGTTAAAGCTTTACATCTGGGTGCTTGATTATAATGAAACCGTTTTACTATTAAAAACTACAGGCCAGCTCACAGATGATGTCATGTTCATTCTTATTGCGCTGATAGAAAGCTGACTGCAGCCTACTATCTCATGTATAACCGAATACATAGTCCTGCCCCCCTTTTTATTGCTCCAATCCACATGTGAGCCAAGAACTGCTCAAACTTCCTCCGTTCCTGTTTGTCTCGCGATCCAGACGATTAATCAGTTATCTCATGAGCCACAACAGCTAAATGCTAAACTGTCAGTAGCCTTTCTGATTAGTGGACGGCAACGATACTTTTCTTTTAAATCCTTTTTTTGTTTTTTTTTGGGCCTTTTCCATGCCTTTATCCTTACAAGATAGGGCAGCTGAAGACAGACAGGACAGCGAGGGGCAGAGAGAGGGATGACAACCCAGCAAAGGGCCACAGGTTCGGATTGAAACCACGGGCCGCTGCAGCCCAACCCAGACATGTGTGGCCAGCTCTAACCCGACTGCGCTCACGGGCCCCGACCGATCTCCTTTCAATCTATATATCAAAATTGTGGTCCGGCTTTCCGACATAGATTACGCCTAGCAGCTGGCCTCTTCCAGGACGGGAAGAGGAGGAAGGTTCTTTACTCCAGTGGTTTTAACCGGCCATCAGGCTCTGGTTATGGTGAGGTGCCTACCGTTGGGTGGACCGTTCTTCTCCACTACCGGTTGTTGGTTTCCCGTACGGTCCCTCGTTGGTTCCTGTAGCTTTAATGTCGTTGATGTTTACCAATAACGGGGTGGGGTTCTCCGCTTACCGAAAAATTGAACAGGGTCCTCAGAAGTCCGAATCAGTGACGGACGTTCATCACGGACATGGTCTGAGGAGGAGACAGTCCTGATCCGGAGCTCCTTCAGCTGAATTTAACCTGCAAGACGAAAAAAACACCGACCCGGTTTTAAAACTGGATCCGTTGTGGTTCCTTATGTGTCCTGAGTCCGGACCTGATCCAAGAACCTCCTACGAGGAGGACTACAATGAGACTGGGTGGGTTGTGTTCCTGTGTCAGAGCCCAGAGCACTTGGTGCTGCCGTCGGTCCAATCAAGAAGCCAGTGGGCGGGGCTTGTTTCAGACCGGGATGAAACTGAGGGGCTGTGTCAGGTATCAGGACCGGTATCAGGTGATGTGGGGTTAGTGTGTGTAGCGACGGTGGATCTACCCTGAACCCGTGTTGCGACAGGCAGAGTCAGCAGGTCGATCGGTGTTGGGCTTTTTCTGCCGTCTCAGTCAGCGACTGTTTGATTCTGCTGCAGCTGCTTCGAGCTTCTTCATCCTCATGCTGGATTCAGAAAACTGCTCCGACTGCGACACCGTCTGCTCTCACACCACACACACAGCAGAGTACACACACCACACACACAGTGTACACAACAACACACACACAGTGTAACACACCACACACACACAGAGGGGTACTACACACACACAACACACACAACAACAGACAACACACACACAGAGTACATCACACACGACCACACAGTGTACACACACACACACACAGTGTACACACACACACACCAGAGTACACCACAGACACACACAACACACACACACACAGACAACACAGAGTACACACACACACACAACACACACCACACACACAGTGTATCACACACAACGACAGACACAGTGTAGCATCACCACATCGACCACAACACACACACACACACACAGACCACACACACAGTACACACACTACACAGCACTGTCAGTAGTGACCTTCAGCCTAATGGTAACAGCCATCTCAACAACACACACTGTATCTTTATTTGATTTATTGATCAGTAATACACTGTATCTTTATTGATTATTGATCCTGTATTTGGACGGCCTTTGTGAAGCTTTACTTGTGTCTTCTAAAATGTCCTCCATCCTCTTCTTCAGTATGTTGAACTAAGATGTTGTAAGACTGCTTAATACTCCCATCCTCTAGCAATTGAAGTCGCAGAGAGAACAACGTCCTGGCCAGCCTGAAACATACACACACACACACACACACACAGACAGTACAGACACACGCAGACACACACAGACAACAACACAGACATCACACAGAAGACATCACAACAGAGACACACACAGACACACCACAGACAGACACACAGCACACATTTTGACAGACAAGAACACACCACAGACAGACAGACACACACACAGACAGACAGACACATCCACCACAGACAGACACACACACACAGACACACACTAGACACACACAGACAGACAGACCAGACAGACACACAGACACAGCACAGAAGACAGAACAGACAGGACACACAGCAATCACACAGACAGACAACATTCAAGACATGACGACCTACACACCAGACAGACACACACAGACACACACCAGACAGACAGAAACAGACAGACAACAGACACACACAGACAGACCACACACAAGACAGATCACACACACACAGACACACCACAGACACACACACCAGACAGTACAGACACACACAGACATCACCAGCAGACAGACCACACCAGACAGACACACACAGGTGACACACAGAACAGACAGAACACACACAGACAGACAGACACACACACAGACAGACAGACACACACACACAGACACACCACACAAGACCGACAGACCACACACACACACACACAGAGGTTGTTGTTGTATGTTGTTTATTCTCTCAGCTCTGAGGCAGTCTCTTGTCTTCACAATCCTTAGTTACTGGTCTCCATGTCCAAGTCATCTCTGTCTGATGGTGTCTCTGTGCCGCTTTTGATTGGCTGAACCAGGTCCTCCACATGCTTCTTCAGTTGTGCAATGCTTCAACTGACAAACAGATAGCCTGAGAGAAGAGGAGGTCACACATTAACCACTGAGCATTTCTTCAGATTACCGCCCACTGTTAACTGCAATCGGAACCCTCCTCATCGTCACTGCCCCCGGCACACTTGTCGGCCCCGGCACACTGTCGCCCCCGCAACACTGTCGGCCCCCGGCACAGGTGAAACTAATACCTGTGGGTTCAGTGTGAGCCATGAGCTGACAGTCCTCTACAGGTGAGCTGCTGCAGGTGAAATCAGAAGAGCTTGAGCGGCTCAGATGGGTGGAGTCTGCAGAACTTGATGGGAGGAGTCGAGACGCCTCCCCTGAAGAAAACAAGACACATCAGAATCAGTATGAAGCTTTATTGTTGTTACTGTAACATTTATGTCTTTCATTCTCACAGTTTCAGCTAGCGTATCCTGTCCTCTCTGTCTGTCTCTCTCTCTCTGTCTGTCTTCTCTCTCCTTCTGTCTCTCCTCTCTGTCTCTATGTCTGTCTCTGTCTCCTCTCTCTCTCTGTTCTCTCTCTTCTCTCTCTCTGTCTGTCTCTCCTGTCTGTCTCTGGTCTGTCTCCTCTGTCTTCTCTGTCTGTCTGTCTGTCTCTGTCTGTCTCTCTCCTCTCTTGTCTCTCTGTCTGTCTCTCTCTCTGTCTGTCTCTCTGTCTCTCTCTTCTCTCTGTCTCTCTCTCTGTCTCTCTCCTGTCTCTCCTCTCTGTTG